ACACACACACACACACCCTGTTTCTTGAAATCTTATTTATTTATTGTCAGTCATGGGACCTGAACTCAAGGCTAGTGCCCTACCACTTGAGCCACAGTGCCACTTTCAGCTTTTTTTCTGCTTATGTGGTGCTGAGGAATCAAACCCAGAGCCTCATGCATGCAAGGCAGCAGTCTACCACTGAGCCAACTTCCCAGCCCCCAAAATCTTACTATTTTAAATTGTTGTTTAAAGTGGTAAAGTACTTAGATTGTTTCCAGTTTTTCACCATCACCATTCTATAATGAGTTGTCTTACAAAAAGCTTTTTATGTATTAGCATATTTTTAAGGGTCAAAGGATTACCTGCTTATTATTTTGAGTGATATTGCCATATTTTCCTCTGAAAAAAGTGATACAAATTCACACTTTTACCAAGAGCATGAGGTTTAGTATATGAAGGCATCCATTTTCCTGTACCCACCCCAATGCCTGATCATCTTCCATCAATTTTTTCCTTCCTTTCTTTCTTTCTTTCAAAATTGACAGGCACAGAATGGTGCTTTTAATTTGCTTGTGAATGATGCTAAAAAGCTATTCCTGTTTACTGGTCATTCATCATTCCTTGTGAGAATATTGTATTGATATTCTCACTATTAATTATTAATCTTTTATAATACCAACTTTATTTTGCGGTTACCCTTAGGCCAAAGAAAAGGGCTTATACCTGTGTATATGCCAAAGCCAGCAGGGTTATCGCTGCCATCTTGGTCCTTCGAGGAAGGGGGATTCTTCGGGAGAGGAAGTAGAGCACTGTAATGGCAGTGACTGAAGTGATTCCCTGGGGGGAAGAAAGAGTTATATGTGCTGGGATTCTACTCACCTTATGTCAAGAACCTAGCTCCTGATTCCATCTATCATCTCTCCTCCAGAACCACTGAGCGACTCTAAGTCTTCCTGTATTAGTCACAGATAACCACCCTGCAGTCCCACCCCAGTTCCTTCTCCTCAGTTGAATCCATTGTTCTCTTCTGCTTATGACTTAAAATGGTAGAGTTATCCAGGGCTCCACCTAAATTTCCATGATGTGTGTATTCTCCACATCCACACACACACTGTTGGTAATCTTATGCACCTTCAAATGTGGCTAGCCCAAGTATGGTCCTTATTTTTTTGTTGGTCGTGGGGCTTGAACTCTGGGCCTGGGCACTGTCCCTCAGTTCATCAGCTCAAGGCGAGCGCTCTACCACTTGAGGCACAGTGCCACTTCTGGTTTTCTGGTGGTTAATTGGAGATAAGAGTCTCACAGACTTTTCCTGCCCGGGCCAGCTTTGAACTGTGATCCTCAGACCCCGCCCCTCACCTCCTGAGTCGCTAGGATTACAGGCGTGAGCCAATGGCACCCAGCTGGTCCTTATTTTTTAAATCATTTGCGTCCTCATCACTAATTTTAAAATTACACAAGGTAATGCGTCCCTGCCCCAGAACCCTTTGGACCTCTCTGGATCATCACCTTATCTCAGCATGTTTTGCTGTAATGATATCTAATCTCTAGCTTGAAACTCATGCTAGTTATCTCATTTTTGTTGGGAGTATTTTAAGCAAGACAGGAGAAATGTTAGGCTTTCCTTTGATATTTTTTTACCTTTATTCTTAACAGCCACTCTTATTTCTGTTCCTCTGAAATCTCTCAGATTGACTGTCATCTTAAGTCTATCTCCCTACATGTAGCTTTGCCCTGCCTCACTACGACAGTACCACTGCTTCTCCAGACTTCCTTGCTATACTGATTCATCGTGCCCAGGCTATCCAGCCAATCTTCACAGGCCCTCAATACCTATCAACCTAAACTGAGAAGTACTGATAAAGCCCCTGCTCCTTGGAGCTCTTTGATAAACTTTATGATGGGCAACAGGTCTCTGCACTCTCTCTATTCAATCTCTTTTCTGCTCAGAAGACAATCTAGATGGAAGACAATCTAGAAAGAAGTTATTTCTGGCCATGTGGTGTGGGGCATATTTAAACTTTCAGAAGCTAGCAATATCCTGAAAGCTAGGGTTTGGCTTGGGGGAGTGTGAAGAATAAGGACAAAAACATCATTAGGTCAGAGAACTGGTCCTAGAATTTCTTCCAAAATAGAACAGGAAACACAGCTGCTGCTCTGCTATCTTTCACTGACCCTCCCTCCACACAGGAACTATCAGCCCAACTTACCAGAACCCTGTGATCAAACTGAACCATGGTGGGATTCTCAAAAACATTCCTCAGGATGGGGGAGAAGGTAAAGAGGTCTTCTGGAACCCAAGATTCTCCCATTTTGGGGAAGGAGTTGTAAACAAGTCCAGCATCCAGCCCTGCCACAAAAGCCCCTGTATGTCAAGATAAATGGAACTTACTCAAATGACAGGAAGGGACCAAATATTAGTTTTGAACATAGAAAAGGCTATTTTCCCAGAGTTAGACAAAGGGAGCAGTTAAAGAATAATAAAAAGATTTGTAATAGGAGCTTCTCAAATATGGGATATATATCACCATCACCATAAGAACTTCAACATCTCTGAGTCCTGCACCTGCTCCTCCAATATTTTTGCTTAGAGAAGTAGACTAGAAGCTCTGGAGGGAGAGGCATATTAGTCTGGAAGTGGGGAAAAAACAATGATTATGATGTCTTCTCCATGCTTCACAGAATGCTGCTCATCTCTTTTGGAAATTCTATTTTCCTACGCATCTGCAAGATTTACTCCCTACTTCTTCAGGTCTCTGCTCAAATGTCATTTTACCAAAGACATCTCCCCGGCAATTTTATATAAAATGGTATTTGTCGGTAGGCAAATGGCTCACAACGGTAATCCTAGCTACTCAGGAGATTGAGATCCAGAGGCCCTTGGTTCAAGGTAAGGTGAAGCAGAAACTCCATCTCCAAAACAAACAGCAAAAAGGTGGGCTTAGAGAGGTGGCTTATGTATAGAGCACCAGCTAAATAAGCAAAAAGCAAACCAGTGCAAGGCCCTAAGTTCAAATCCCAGTACTAGCCAAAAGTAGAAAATAGCATTTGCTTATCCCACCTCTCACTAGTCCCTGAGCTTGCTTTAATTTTCTTCACAGCACTAAATATCACCTGACTCATTTGTGTGTGTGTGCACGCATGCACGCACACGTATTACTTATCTTCCCTAAGTGCTCAATAAATATTGGTTGAATGAGTGAGTGAACCTATAAATGACAAAATTCATGTTCTTTTAGTAAAAAAAAAAAAGCCGGGTGACAATGGCTCACGCCTGCAATCCTAGTTAGTAGGCTGAGATCTAAGGATCATTGTTCAAAGTCAGCCTGGGCAGGAAATTCCATGAGACTCTTATTTCCAATTAACCACCAGAAAACTGGAAGTAGCACTGTGGCTCAAGTGGTAGAGCACTCACCCTGAGCTAAAGAGTGCAGGGACAGTGCCCAGGCCCAGAGTTCAAGCCCCATGACCGATAAAAAAAGGGAAAAGGAAAGGTATCTCACTGGTGTGAATCAATGTTATTTCATTCTTGAACAGAATTGTCCAAAAGAAGTTTCATTGATAATAGAAGTATTCTATCCAGTATGGGTGCCAGGAATATATGTGCCTGATAAGCCCTCAAAATGTAATGTGACTTAAGAACAAAATTCCTAGCCGGGCACCGGTGGCTCACGCCTGTAATCCTAGCTACTCAGGAGGCCGTTATCTGAGAATCACGGTTCAAAGCCAGCCTGGGCAGGAAAGTCCATTAGATTCTTATCTCCAATTAACCACCAGAAAACCAGAAGTGATGCTGTGACTCAAAGTGGTAGAGTGCTAACCTTGAGCCGAAAAGCTGAGGGACAGTGCTCAGGCCCAGAGTTCAAGCCCCACGACTGAAAAAAAAAAAAAAAGAACAAAATTCCAATTTTTCTTTACTATTAATTAAATGAATCTTATGCACTTGTACAGGTGGAAGTATGGTCTAGACAATGGAGAAACCTGTGCTGGACTCTCTGCTGCAATGAACCCTCTACCTCTGCCCATCTTTGTGAGCAGATCTTTTTTGTGCGACAGATCTTGGTGTATTGTCATGATGTTTATAGAATACTAACCACGAGCACTTATGGAGTCTTTGCTAAATGCCAGGTACTGGCCTGAGCACGTCATGCATATTACTCATACTATAGTCATCATCTCATTTTATAGATCAGATAACTTAAGAGCTTCCATAGCTTGGCAACTACAAACTTGCCACAGCTTGCAGCTACTAAGTGGTGAAGCTAGGAGTCAAATCTTAGGACATATATTTTTGTTCCATGACTGGCAAGGGCTTTTAGAAGAGAGGACAAATGGAAAACAGTGAGTGAAGTTGGCAAGGATGAGAAAGGTATAGAAGGGAAATAGGAAGATGAATAAGGAAGGGGCAAAACATGTGACAAGAGGAGAGCGGGCCACTTCTGATAAGAGGAGTCCTACCTGAGAGAGCTGTAAGAAACACCAGACCTGCTGTTCCACCAGCAAAGCGTCTCAACCACATGAGCTGGCGGGTTTCAGGCAACTAAATAAAAAAAAAAATCACAAAGGTAAGCTGTATTGCTGGAACTATGAGAGGCAGCAAGATCACCAACGCCAAACCCAAGTGATACTTTAACATTAGATCTTTTTGGGCCTCTAGAAACAGAAGACAGACATGTAATATTTCGTTGTAATTTTTTTTACTATGTGTCTTTCCTGCTAACCTGTGAGTTTTATGAAGGTATAAATTCATTTAGTATGAAGGTACTCAAACATGTATGCATCTGTTGATAACTAAATGATTTAGCAACAAGAGTTACTCAGATGTGACAATGTTTCATCCATCTGGCTTTCCTGTGACTGCCAAGTTAACATTTCCAGTCCTTACTAGAAAATTTATACCTGTTATACCAAATACCCATTGAATGATTCCACTTAAGAATCCTATACCAGCTAGGGGCCAGTGGCTCATACCTGTAATCCTAACTACTCTGGAGACTAAGAATGGAAAAATCAAGATTTGAGGCTAGCCCAGGCAGATAAGTTCTTGAGATTCCCTTCTTAATCTACAGCTGGGTCCACTGGCATGTGTTTGTCAATAAGTTACATGGGAGGCAGAGATTGGAAGGATCTTGGTCTAGGCAATGTAGCTAAGGAGGAAGCAAGATTCTATCTCAAAAATAACCAGTAAAAACCAAGGCTGGAGGCATGGCTTGGAAGTAGAACACTTAGCTAGTTCTTGCAAGGTTCTAAGTTTAAACCCCAGTACTTAAAAACAAACAAACTCATCTCCATGATTTAATACCTAACTACCAGTACTAGGTTTTTCTAGTCCATCGCCTTAACCACTTGGTCATGACTACATCTAACTAGGTTTTTTTTGTTTTGTTTTGTTTTTGGGGTCCGGTTGTGGGGCCTGAACTATGGGCCTGGGCGCTGTCCCTCAGCTCTTCAGCTCAAGGCTAGCACTCTACTACTTGAGCCACAGCGCCACTTCCGGCTTTTTTTCCCCTGCTTATGTGGTACTGAGGAATTGAACCCACGGCCTCAGGCATGCAAGGCAAGCGCTCTACCACTGAGCCACCTTCCCAGCCCCCTAACTATGTTTTTGAGACAAAGTCCTTACCCTCATATCTTCATCTCCTCAATGATTGGATTACAAATATGTGACACTATGCCTGGTTTAAATTATGAAGGTTTTCCTTTGTTTTTGCAGTGCTTAGAATGAAGCCCAGTATCTATACGTGCTAGACAAGTGCTAGAACACTGAAATGTATAGCTAGCTAGCTCACTAGTGATCCATAGTGGTGTGGTATCTTGATACCTCCATTATAAATGAGGGCCTCAGAAAAAAATTGTATCAGAAAAAAATTATATCTTGCTATTAAATCAAAGCATAAAAGTAAAAGTTTCCTAAAGGAAAATCAGATTTAATATAGTGTTAGACTTGAATGGTAAGTCCCCTCTCAATATACAACACAGCATGACCTTTATATAACACCATAATTTCACATTTTGCCCTTGTTCTGGTCTTCCTTGCCTCATCTACCTTCTGTGAGTCAAAGTGTTTGGGGTATCTCTTATTGTTGATATTCCTTCTCACTTTCCCTAAAATTCATGCTCTCACCTTATTCAGTAGCAAGCTTGACAAGATATTCAGCCCCTGAATTCAGAAGTGGATTCAGCAATTCCACTTCTGGCTACATAACCAAAAGAGTTCAAATCAGGATCTCAAGGCGGAATTTGCCCACCAGTATTCATAACTAAATTATTCACAATAGTCAAAAAGTGGAAACATGAGGCTGGGAAGGTGGCTCAGTGGTAGAGTACTTGCCTTGCAAGCATGAGGCCCCAGGTTCGATTCCTCAGCACCACATAAACAGAAAAAACAAACAAACTGGATGTGGCACTCTGGCTCAAGTGGTAGAGTGCTAGCCTTGAGCTGAAGAACTGAAGGACAGCGTCTAGGCCCTGAGTTCAAGCCCCATGACTGACAAAAAGTGGAAGCATCTCAAATACTACAGATAGATAAAATATAATTGTATATATAAACACACATGTACACATATATATACCCAACCTTAAATAGACTACTATATATACCCAACTTTAAATAGACTATTACCCAACCTTAAAAAGGAAAGGAATTCTGATACATGCTGCAGTATGGATGATAAGGACATGATATGTAAGTCAGTAAAAAGACAAAAAAGTATATTATTCCAAGTGTATAAAGTATCACAATGACATAAGTTGTTGGACAGAAGTTGTTATTTAATTATGACAAAGTCCTAGATCTGGTTACCTAATCCTGTGAATATATCTAACATCAACAAACTACATTTAATGATAAGATGGGGTTATGGCTGCAGGCACTGGTTTAGGTCCCAGCACTACCACAGAGTAGGATAGCAATTTTTGTTGTTGTTATGTTTATTTCATAGCAATTAAAAAAAATGAAAGCTGGAAGTGGTAGCATGTCTGTAATCCTAGCATTCAGGGATTTCAATTTTGAAGCCAGTCAATTTGTAGCCAGTCTAAGCTACATAATGACATCCTATCTCAGGGACAAAAAAGAAAAATCAGCTCCTATGCTAGTTTTCTTTCAAATACCTCCAGCTCAACAGAAGTGCACTGCACACTTAAGGTCTCAAAGTTCAGCAAAGCCCTAAAGTTCAATGTTTCTCTAAACCATGGCAATATCTAGCTTCTGGTAAGTTGATAGATTGTTACTATATAAGGGAAGCCAAATGTTCACTTACAACTTCCAATGAGAACCAGAATTTCCATCCCCCTGACCCTGTCAACATGTGTTAACAATCCAGACTGACTTTTACCTTGTGCTTAGGGAGTAGCAGTGACAGTGAGGTCCACAAGCTAGCACAATAAAGAACCAGGGCTGATCCCAGATGGGCAGCAAGGCGGTACTGACTGACCCGAGGGATGTCATAAGAATCTGGCTTTTCTTCTAATCCACTTTTCACCATGTACCACCCTAACAGACCCTAGAATTCCAAAGAGAAGAGGCACACAAAGTTAAAACTAGTTTATAGAGGAAGTATGTTAGTGATCAGCAGTGGACCCTACCTACCCTTCCACATACCCAGGGTCCCAAAGATCAAGATCTCTGCAGTTCTTCACCAGCACCATTAACATAATACAATGATTTCACTCAAGCATAGTCCAAATATAGAAAAATACAAAGCAATTTGTCCACATGAAAACCTTACAAATACTTGATATGATTTAGTATTATATAAGCCAGTGAAATAGAATAAAAAGAGTTTTCTTTAAAAACTAGATTTCATGCTTTAGAAAAGCTGAATAGTGACAACTGCTTAAAAACAATTATTGTCATTGAGTGCAGTGGCTCAAGCCTGTAATCCTAGCTATTTGGGAGGTGGAGATGGGAAACTGAAGTTTGAGGCCAGCCTGGATATAAAAAGTTAGAGACAATATCTCAACTAATGGTTGGGTGTGGTGGTGTGTGCAGGTGTGATGTAGTGTGTGTGTCATCCCAAGTTACAGTGGATGCACAATGGCTGAGTACATTGGCATGCCCCTGTCATCCCAGCAAGAAAAAGAGAAGCACAAATAGGAAGATCACGATCTTAGCCAGTCTGGACATAAAAGGAGGCCCTATCTCAAAAGGTGCTAACAGTGGTTTAATTGGTAGAACCTAGTTAGCATAAGGCCTTAAAAGCTCAACTCCAGTACTGACAAAAAGCAAACAAACAAAAATTATTGTTAAGTTAGATGGGACTAGATAATCACAAAGGTTTGGGGGAAGTCACACAAATCTGTAGGATTTTGCATGCAGATTGCTTTATTTCTAAGTTCTTTGTATATGTCTAAGTTCTTAATCTTCTTTTAAATTCCAAACTTATAAAGTTAAATAAGGCCTTGCCCTTAATTAAAAAAAGAAAAAAGTTGATAATGAAAGTACATGTTTAAGTTTAGAAGTGTACAGCCCTTTTTTTTATGATTCTGCTTAAATTGGCTTTTTCAAGTAACCAAACAGTATCAGTCAAATCATATCAGATAAGGTAGAGATATTTTACTTCCACCTTCTGGTAGAACCAAGTCAAAGAGGAAACATTCTCCTACTTCTAAATATATACTTCTCAGAAAATCTATTCGGACATCTCCTCACCAGTTCAAGACTACTTTGGCTATTTTAATCACCTTGTTTTCATCTGAAAGTGTTGACATAGTGGCCCCTACTTTCTTCCTTATGTAATACTATCTGACATCTTAAATTTCCTTAAAACTCTCTGGAAATCTATTAGTGTTTATTAATTCTAAAATAATGTCTCCTAGTTAGCACTAGGCTTTTTATTAGTGTTTAATGTTTTTCTGTTTCTATTGCTTCTTTAATCCCTTCTAACTGGTTCAACTTACCAGTGCTCAGTTAACTAGCTTCTCCTAGATCAAATTGTGTTATATTTAGTGCTCTGATACATTCCCCTTAAGATCTTTATTGTTTGACCCACATACTTCCAGGCATAGTCTTTCATAATTCCTTTTCTTGGCTCTTAACTTTACCTCCATTAAAAAAAAATTCATTGTTATTTTAAAGGTGATATACAGAGTGTTTTACCTCCGTTTTTAAGTTGGAGTCTTTCAAAGCTCTTTTTCTTAAAAGTTCAGCTTACATGATTTTAAGTCCTATTTATACTATCTGTCAGTTACACTGTATTCCAAGATCTTTCATTTCACAAAATTCTTCTTGTGGAGTTTTCCTATTTGTCTCTGTAGCTTTCTAGTAGCCTCCTATACAGCAGCAAAGTTAGAGAAAAGGAGAACTGGGAAGAGAACTATAAGGGGAAACAAACTCTACTTGTAGCACATGAGAAAGTATTTAGTCAGTGCTTACTCATTCTGGGTACTCAATGGTTTACATGCACTATTCCACTGAATATCCACATAAGCTTAAGTGGTAGGGCACTATTATTACCCATATTTACAAGTAAGGAAACCATAATATATAGAAACCAGACAACTTGTGGCCCTACCAACTGACAGAGCTAGGGCTTGAACCAAGCCTGTGACACTAAAAATGCATTCACTTACCCATTCTGTTATAGTGCCTCACAGATTCCTTCCTCAAAAATACTGCCAACTACGTCACTCCTGGAGCACCTGTGGTTTCCTAACTTTGAATAGATCTTACCTGGAAGCAGACTAGGCTACAGAGGGCAAGAACACGTCCTTTCATGCCATGGCTGAGCCAGCCCTTTCTCCAAAAGTAGGCAGCAGGCAGGATGTATGCAAGGCCTACAACTCGACCCCACATCCGGTGTGAGTACTCCATGTACCAGATGAACTTGAATTCTGCCAGGGTCATATCGTGATTCAAGCTGGGGGGAAATGGGAAGTCAAAAGTGAGGAAAGAGAAAACATCCACCATTATTATTTCCCTATAGAATGCAGAAACATTCTGCATTAGCTGTGAGCTTGGTAGGCCTGCTCTCTATCTGCAGACTCACTAGGCAGCTCACTAAATGTAACTGAAGCAAATAAAGGAGTTTAAGTAAGCAAAAGAATAAATAGGGCATGCCAGGTGCCAGTGGCTCTTGTCTGTAATCCTAGCTACTCAGGAGTCTAAGATCTAAAGATCACGGTTCAAAGCCAGCCTGGGCAGGAAAGTCCGTGAGACTCTTACCTCCAATTAACCACCAGAAAACCAGAAGTAGTCCTGTGGTTCAAGTGGTAAAGCGCTAGCCCTGAGCTAAAGAGATCAGGGACAGCACCCAGGCCCTGAGTTCAAGCCCCACAAACCCCCCCCCAAAAAAAAGGATTAAAGGGGCCAATGAGATGTTTACCTGATTTCCCTCTCCAATACTTACTTACATTTTAAATTCTGGAAATTGTTGGTATTTTTGGAATTCTGCTTCCCATTCTTCTTGGCTTGTAGGTGGCTTCATCTCCTTTATTAAATGCCAGTCTACCATTGAGAGGCCAGACTCTGTCAATCTTAAGGGAAGGAATAATATGATTCTGGATTTATGAATAGTTTGTAGCAATAAGTAGATATGAATTTTAACCCCATTAAAGACATTGTTTCATTGTTTATTTCTTGACATATTTTTCTCTTAGTGCATGGAATTTTGTAAGAAGTAGCTCCTATCAGGTACAAATTTCTCTTCCTTTCTTTCCTTGTTTTTGCAGTACTGGGGCTTTGTACATGCTAAGTTAATGCTCTAACGCTAAGTACATTCCCAGTTTCTAGCCCTTATTTCTTTATTCTCCTATTCTCTCAATCCTTTCATTTTCTAACTTTCCTCGCTTAATTGTTTACTTATTTATTCTGAGACAGGATCTTGCTATGGAGTCCATGCTTTCCTCAAACTTATACTTCCTGAATGCTAGAATTAGAGGTGTGTGCTATTGCTCCTGGCTTCCACTTGATGTTTTTCATTAGTGTTCACAAGCAAAACCAACCCTTATACCAAGAAATGCATATTAAATGCATAATCAACATTCTTAGTTTTCTGGTGCTGGGGTTTGAACCCAGAGGGTCTTTCATACAGTAAGCACACACAAACTACTGAGCTATACTAGCAATAACCAACATTCTTTACATGGAAAAAAGAGATTCACATATAAGTTTAGGTTCTTCTGTGAAACTGAAGACAATATAACTCAAATATGTTTCACTTTCTCATAAAAGTAGTATCTAACAGATACAGTAGTCACAGAAACATAGAGACGATTGGAGGAACATACATTTCATTAAAACTAGGAAATAGGGCTGGGAAGGTGGCTCAGTGGTAGAGCGCTTGCCTTGCATGCATGAGGCCCTGGGTTCGATTCCTCAGCACCACATAAGCAAAAAGCCAGAAGTGGTGCTGTGGCTCAAGTGGTAGAGCGCTAGCCTTGAGCTGAAGAGCTGAGGGACAGCGCCCAGGCCCACAGTTCAGGCCCCATGACCAGACCCAAAAAGAAAAAAAAAGTAAAACTAGAAAATACTTTCACCGAAAGGATTCAGAGGGCCAGATGTGACAGTGTACACCTGTAATTGAAGCTACTTGGGAGAAGGATCAGTACTGCAAAAATAAAGGAAAAAAGTCAAGATTTGTAAACCAACAGTTAACTTTAAGCCTGAGGTAAGAAATGTAAAAGATGAGCCTGGAAAAGAAGTGAAGAATCTCTACGATGAAAACTTTAAAAATCTGAAAAAGGAAATCAAAGCAGAACTTAGGATGTGGAAAACCTCCCGTGCTACTGGATTGGAAGGATCAACATGGTGAAAATGGCAATACTTCCAAGGCTATCTACAAATTCAATGCGATACCTATCAATATTCCAACCTCATTCTTCAAGGAAATAGAAGAAGCAATCCAAAAATTCATATGGAACAATAAAAGACTCCGAATAGCAAAAACAATCCTTAACAGAAAGAATAGTGCTGAAGGACTATCAATACCAAATTTCAAACGCTACTACAAAGCCATAGCTATCAAAACAGCTTGGTACTGGCACAAGAACAGACCTCAGTACCAATGGAATAGAATTGAAAACCCAGAAATGGACCCACATACCTATAGCCACCTAATCTTCGATAAAGGAGCTAAAAAAAAAAATAGAATGGAAGAAAGACAGCCTCTTCAGTAAATGGTGCTGGCAAAATTGGTTAATGACCTGTAGAAAATTAAAGCTAGATCCTTATATATTACCCTGCACCAGAACCAACTCCAAATGGATCAAAGACCTCTGAATCAAAGCAGATACCCTGAAAACCTTACAGGATGGAATAGACCTTAGGTCTCCTTGGCACAGACCAAAATTTTCTTAATAGAGACCAGAAACAACAAATAAAAGAAAGGTAGGACAAATGGGATTGCATGAAGCTGCAGAGCTTCTGCATGGCAAAGAACATAGCTAGCAAGATCAATAGAAAGCCCATAGATTGGAAGATCTTCACTAGCCATACAACAGATAAGGGTTTCATATCTAAAATATACTTGGAACTAAAAATATTAAATCCTTCAACAAAAAATCCTTAAAGAAACAACTGCTCAATAAATAAGTGGGCTAAAGACTTAAAGAGAAGCTTCTCTGAAGAGGACATAAGAATGGCTAACGGACATATGAAGAAATGCTCAACCTCTCTAGCCATAAAAGAAATGCAAATCAAAGCAACATCTAACCCCAGTTAGAATGGCTATAATCAAGAACTCTAATAACAACAGATGCTGGAGGGGATGTGGACAGAAGGGAACCCTACTGCATTGTTGGTGGGAGTGTAAACTTGTTCAACCACTTTGGAAAGCAGTATGGAGATTCCTCAAGACTCCACATAGAGCTCCCCTATGACCCAGCAATCCCACTTTTGGGCATTTACCCAAATGATCACAAACAAGACCATACTAAAGCTACCAGCACAACTATGTTTGTTGCAGCATTATTTATCATAGCTAAGATATGGAACCAACCCAGATGCCCCTCAGTAGATGAATGGATCAAGAAAATGTGATACACACACACACACACACACACACACACACACACAATGGAATTCTATTTTTTTTTGGTCGGCCGTGGGGCTTGAACTCTGGGCCTGGGTGCTGTCCCTCAGCTCTTCAGCTCAAGGCGAGCGCTCTACCACTTGAGCTACAGCGCCACTTCCGGTTTTCTAGTGGTTTATTGGAGATAGGAGTCTCAGGTCTCTCCTGCCCGGGCTGGCTTTGAACCGTGATCCTCAGATCTCAGCCTCCTGAGTAGCTAGGATTACAGGCGTGAGCCACCAGCGCCCGGCTCACACAATGGAATTCTATGCCTCCATCAGAAAGAATAACACCATTCTATTTGTTAGGAAATGGAAAGACTTGGAAAAAATTCTAAGTGAAGTAAGCCAGGCCCAAATAAACAGAGGTCCCATGGTTTCCCTTATTTGAAATAAGGGAAATAAGTATATGTCTGGAACAAGCAGAAAAGGTCAAAAGCTATGTACATATGACCAGGTAGGATGATGTTAAGTGAAATGAACCCCAAGATAGGGACACAAGTGTTTTTTTTTTCTTTCTTGCTATTGTTTCTAACATATTTATAAGGTACCATGTGACTTTTTTTGTTTCTATGTATGTTCCTCCCCCATGGTATAACCCCTGTTTTCACTGTATTTGATGTCGGTGTCCAGCATCTTGTATATACACTTCTCTAATTTGGGGAGGGGAAGGGGAAAAACTAAATGCTTAAATAGGGATACAGGTTTACTCCTTATAACAATGAGATACAAGACACTATGCTGAAAAACGAACTTTACAATTTAGGGGGTGGGTGTGGGAGGGGTAGTTGTGGAGGGTGGGAAGGAAGGGATGGTAGGGGAAAAACAAAGGAGGAGGCAGCAATGCTTGATAGGAAATGTACTCATTACCTTGCTCATGTAACTGTAACCCCTCTATACAGTATTTTT